AGTCATCTTTTCTTGACAGTCAAAGAGAGCGAGGTCTGATTCTCTCACTGTGAGACATGTAGCTCCTGAATAGATTTTCCAGTCTTTACTGGAAGTTAAAGAGGTTTCAGTGTGTAATACAGAGCCCAGAATTTGGGACAGCCTTATTGTATTGATCTCACTGGTGCCGTAACTAATAGTGACATCCCCTCTCTGCCCCCTTCCTGCATACACAGTTCACTTTCTGTTCCAAGGCACCTGAAGCTCCTCCTCAACTGTTTGTTACCAACAGTGTCTCAATGCTTTCCCTTATCACTCTTCAGGATAATCTTTCCTCTGTCCCTCATTCGATTTTCTTACATTCAAATGTGGGTGGGTTGTGGGGCCTGTGTATTTTTCCTTGTTGGTCACCACACCGTAGTGCTGTACTTTATACAAACCTCTGTAGAATCTTTTGGAAACCGTGTTATTTGAAAATTTTTCTGACAACTGTTTTAAAATCTAAACCTGCTCCAATTGGTACAGGTTATGCCGACTGACTCTTTCATGACACCTGAAACATTGTAGCCCAAATATGCTGCATCTGTGCTGGGGTTTCTTCTCGTTAAAGAAGGACATTACCCTTGATGCCAGTGTCAGCACGGGTGCCTGAAATAAGTGACAGTCACCTTGTGTCGTTATAAGATCATTTGTGACTTGACACGGAGAATGTTTAAGGAGCTTCTCTCACTACCAAGTCTTCAGGGAAACTGCTTTCTCTTCCTTACTCCAAACCTGTTACCAGAGCATCCATCCACATGTAGAGTAATATGTCACTATAGTTCCTATTAATTAACTGACTTTTCTGATATTATGATGCTTGTTCACATGAACCCTTAGTTTCAGGCTATATAAAGTTGAGGAATGATACTATTTTTCTCAATAAACTTTAAATCTTATAAATATTTTTCTTCTGATGGATTTCCCTTTTGGTGCAAATTAACGTACTTCAGTCTCAATCAATTCACTGAAATAAGTAGTAGATTTTGAACAAAAACAAAGCCATAGTCCCAAGACATTAGATTTTAGATACATGTATAAAATACTTTTAAAGAAATATCCTTCCAGTTTGTCTTGTTACCTCTATGATGTTGGGATACCTGGTGTTTCAGAAAAAAAAAAAAATTAAAATCTTTTTATGAATTGTCTCCTGGTTTTGAAGTAACCCAAATATTGGAGCTTAGATTGCATGGCTTAGAAGTATTCCACATGTTGTCTGTCATCAAAGAAAAGCCTGTAATATGATTGTGGGTAAGGCTTTTTTGAAACTTATGCTGACGTTCTCACTGGAGAAAACCAGGAAAATGGGAGAAAACGGGAGCAATGAGTTTAGCCCAACATTCGAGTTTTATGGAGGATTCTTTGAACAATGTTAAATGCAGATTTTTTATCTCAGACTTGCTGTCTTTTGGTTAAACTCTTGAGATAGACTGTATCATATGTTACTTTTTTTCAATGTTTCAGAAAGTAGGCATAAGAATGGTAAGGATGAGAAATCCTGTGACTTAAAGTGAATAAATAAGAGGCTGCATCCTGACCCCTCCCCTTCCCCCAGCCAGGGAGCATGCAGTCTCACCTGGGGAGATGTATTGCAAGTGTCACAAGTGTTCTACTTTTTCTAAAGGGCTGTCTGCACAAGTGAGCTCCATGGTGAAGTCCAGGATTAAATTCTCACACAGCTTTATGGAACTTGTAAGCTATGCAGTTGCATGATGAGGTTCTTGTAAAATGAAACGCAGTTTTCCTCTTTAACTCTTTGAGTGAGACTTGTTCAGTATCTTGCTTTTCCAGACTGTTTTCATATATAATGTAGTTAAAAGAAGAAGCGTGTACTGCATCCCTCCTCTCTGTCAGGATACACTTCTAGATATGTGATGTGATTTGAAGCATGCTTCTTGCCACTAACACGTTTGTGCTTTTCGTTGACTTCAGTGCTGATGTGTTGTTAAACTCAATATGAAATTATTTATAATAAATGTTAAAGCATGGCAAATGTTAAAGTACTGCACACTTTCTTGGGTAGCAATGAGATTCCCCTTAACTCACCATAATTCCACCTGAACTCCAGTTGTTGGTATAGTGGAGGAGGGCCTGGCACATCATACAGTGCTTATTATCATTTTGTCATTACACCAGAAAGGAATCAGTTTAGTGAATTTTACTTTTTCCCCTGCAAAGGAGGGAAGAGAATGAGCAGCCTGGCATGAAGGGCTAGGAGGGTGTTGGCACAGGAGAACAGAAAAGTGCCCTTCAGTTCAAAAGATGTCTTTCTGAATTTGTGTGAACAATGAGATCATCTGGTGCCATCATGGCAGACCTTTGTAGAGTTCCATTATGATTGATAATTCTGTACCCACTTCTGATGGGTAATTAAAAAATGGTGTCAGCAGGGATTTATTGCTTATCCCATTGGGTTCAGTTACAGATAAGTTGCAGATAAATATAGTGCATATTTAGAGGAACCTTTCTAGAACACACAGTCTAGAGATGCTGTGCAGACGGCATGTACAGCATGTAGAGGTGGTAATTGAGACTGTAGTGTCTGCAGTTGTGAATTGATATCTTCAATCTGCAGTGCATACTTACTTACTAAAGAGGGAAGAACATCTTAATTTATGATTAACTTCTAGTAAAGGAAGTCCATGCTGGAAAGTCCAGAACTCTGGCTGAGTGCAGTTGAAAAGCCTGATTCACCACTGCTTTACATCTATGTAAAATATTTTCTTTTTTTTAAATTTTTTATTTTGTAATTACTGCGCTAGAGAACCAGCGATTTGGAGGGAGATGTGCTGTTCCAACAGTTTTCACTATTACACTTGCATAGTGCTGCTGGTTTTACTCTTCTGCACTGGATTGCTCAGTTATGTGTTTAGCTGAAATTTTCTGCAAATTTGTCAAACTGTTACTCTTAACATGGAGAAATTTCCCTTTCCGTGCATAAGGAAATATTAAAAACCTCTCAGACTTTATTTTGTCAACTCCCAGTTCTCATCTTTGCATCTTAAAAGGCTGTGGTTTGTTTCATATTTTAACAATCATTTTCTGCTATTCACAGTTTTGAAGATAAGCTAAAGTAAATTCAGGGCCCTCCTTGATATATTGGCTTGAAACACATGCCAAAAAATTACACCTGTTGTATGATTGACCCCAATTAAGGCAGTTGGACAAATAAGGTGTAAATCAAGTGTAAAATGTGTTTTGACTTGTGTCTAATACTTCCTTGAAAGACTGGCACGAAAAAAGTAGAGGAAGAAGAATTGATTTCTTAGGGCAGCATTTGGCTCAGTGGTTTATTAAAGGTCTACTGTGTCTTTGCTGTATTATCTCCCTTCAGCCTGGAAGAGGAATGATGCAGATGCAGCATTAGCAGTGCCTAAATTAATGAGACTGTTTTGTAAATCAGTTCCCAGGGGTTCGATAATGTGCATCTCAGTCATCTTTATTTGAGCCACTGAAAAATTGTCAGTGCTCGAAGAGATGTTCTAATAGCAACAGACTTGTGACAGATATGAGTGTGTAAAAAACATACCTTTTAATGATAACCACCAACTTCCAGTATTCATTCTTCCCTAAATAGGGACACAACCTATAAAGCTTGAGTAAAGACAATCAGTAATGCTTTAAGTGACCGTAACAGGGTTGTGTGTGCTTCATAACGGTATGAACTATCTAATAAATTAAAATATTAAAGTACAATGGGGAAGACTAGACCTGTGAAGGCAGTGTTACAGAAGTCCTGGGATAGAACTGGATTGTAACTGCTAGATTTTCCACTTCCACCTGTATCATTCACTTCTTGTCCTTGCTCATGTCCTTGGATGCTACTTCAGCGAAAAATTTTTATTCCTTGCCTTTACTGAATCCCATAGCTAGGGAAAGAAAGGGGGTTTAAGTACAGGCTGAAGTCCATGACTCACATTTAGGTGAACTCACTAAGCTGCTACTCCCAGTTTGGCCAGAAGATGCAGCTGTGGAGTGCTTGTGGAACACGTTGCTCCTTTGAAACAGCATCATCTATGAAGTGCTGTTAACTTTTCCCTGTTAAGAACTAAGTCTTGCTTATAAAGCAGTCTTCAAACAGGATTAGGATCCTGTAGCAATGTAAAAATAGATTTAGACTCCTGTCTGAAAATCTTCAGATAATTTTTGGATTTTGCTCTTTTATGATGATGCAAGGTAGATTAATATATAAATAAATTTTCAGAGTTTCATGTGGAGAAAGAACAAGGGGCATTTGCTGCAAAATGCAGTGGAAGTGACCTGAAGTGTTCTATGCAGCAGAACACAGATTAACAGCAGCCCTACATTCCAGGATAGCTCAAGACTTCTGTACAAATCTTTCTGGGTTTTGCAGTGTGTAACAAAGCTTTTTCTGGGTAATCCTCTTGACTGTTTTCATACAAAAATATATGATCAATCCCCTCCTATTATTCTTGTTCCTTTTTTATTTTCCTTTTTGCTGGTACGTGTACTTTGCTCAGGATGAATAGAGTACACCACCCACACCTACAGACTACTTCTTTTTTTTTTCAGAAGTTGGAGGAAAAGAGAAAATGTGGGCCTTGTGGTTGAGCTCTTTTTGTTCCCACGGTCCACTGAATTGGGGTTCAAGGTACTTGTACAGCTGGGAATTCTGTTGGAGGCTTGAGGGAAAGAGGGGAAAGGCTGCATAAAAATCATATCTGTTCTCTCAAGAATTTGTAGTGCCAGGCGTGTGACCCCATATATACCACTTGATCACTGTTACTCCATCTGAAACTTGAACCTCATAATGATGCTCCAAAATCTAATAAATACAACAATTCATTTTAAAACACGTGCTTCTGAAGATTAACTCTCAACATAGGGGGAGAATAAAAGCTCCAAGGGGTGTAAAGCAGTGAAACAGATACAGTGCCTTGAGTGTAACGTGAGAGGAACTGTGCTAGATACAGTAAGTAGAAAATGGAGCAAGGAAGAGTGAATCACATAGTTGTCAAGCGTACCTGAGGTGAGACAATCTGAGCTGCTGTTTCTTCTCTCCTCCCAGCCTGGATTCTGGTGTTAGCTGTTTTGGTGCTGCTTAAAAGTAGGACGCAGTTTCTCACCTGTAGAGGAAGGAAAACAGGGTTTCTACTCAGAAGTAGCGTGAACAGGAGCAGAACACAAGGTGTAAACCAGATATCAAGTGTAAGAGTAATCATCTTTTCTGCTTGCTGCACTAGGAAACAGTCGTAGGACTGAAATAGGAGCTCGTGCTGTTCAGGAATGGGAAGAGTTCTGAATTATACTCAGCATTTTCAGGATTTCTGGTACCAATTTACCTTGCTCAGAATGTGAGATCTTAAAGTTACCTGATCATGAAGCAGAGCTGTTCTTTAGCAACTAGAAAAATACAGAGCATGATAAGAAGGTTTTTTTACTGTTGTTACTAATTTTGGTTTTAAGCCCATTCCTTGATTCTGTTCTCTAAAATGATGCAGTAAAGCAACCCACAGGAATTGATTTCTGTGAGGTTTTCTTGGGTCTGGTGAGTAACTGGTAATGCTTGAACTGATACTGAGCTTTCTTTTCTTTCTCACAGGTACAAACTGAAGACAGTGTCCTCTTGTTTGTAGTGGCCTGGACAATCACTGAGATTATCCGCTACTCTTTTTACACGTTTAGCTTGTTAAACCACCTCCCTTATCTCATCAAATGGGCCAGGTTGGTAGTACAATAGAAATCGCAGCATTGAAGCACTGATTTGACAGAGATATTTATCCTGTAAAATAGCTGCAGTACAAAAAAATTAGATTTTGAGGTAATTGCCCTGTTTGTGAGTGTGACTTCCCAGCTCTTTCCAGCAGATTTTGGAATTCAAAAAGATCTCTTTCACTGTAAGCTGAAAGAGTAGAAACTGATATTTAACAGTAAAGGGGGGCAGTAAGTAAACTGACATATCCCTTTTAAGTAGTATAATAAACCCCATCAAAGAGTTTAGAAATGAAAGTAATAAAGTGGGGGGGTGGTGGGGGAGAATAGTTTTAAAGATAGTATTTAGATTCTCAAAGGTAATTTTTATATATTTCACACTTTTTGCTGATTTTAACACTTAGCTTGAAATAACATTCATACCTTGCCATGCTCTAATCAAATAAGAACTAAGGAAAATAAATACTGAGTTGAGAATTTAAAATTTGAATATCCATAATAGCATTTAACAAATACTTTGTCAGAGTTTGTTGTAACTTTTAATTCTTTCTGTAAATGTTCTATTCTAGGTACACTTTGTTTATAGTATTGTATCCAATGGGAGTCTCAGGCGAATTACTCACAATATATGCTGCATTACCCTTCGTCAGGCAGTCTGGCTTGTATTCCATTAGTTTACCTAACAAGTACAATTTTTCTTTTGACTACTATACATTCTTGATCCTGGTTATGATCTCTTACATTCCAAGTAAGTATGAATTCGCTAGTTTTTTTAGTATCACTAACTGTAATGGGAAAAGCTAATAATTGGGAGATTAACGTACTGTTGATGACCTTGTTTAATTTTTGTATGGTTCACAAAGGTTTAATGCCTCATGGAAATTTTAGCTTTTGCTGTTTATGTTTCATCCCCTACTTTGTTGTTCTGCAAACAGGCTGTGTAACATAATCTTAGAAACAAGAGGAGAAAAGGCTCTTGCATGAAGGATAGAGAGAGAAAAGAGGCACCAGTTTGTATAAAGTGACACAGATTCTGAAAAAGCAACACTAGAATTGCAAGAAATGAAACAAATCTGGAAATTTCATTCTTTTGGAAGGGCTTTTTCCTCCCCATTTTCTTTCTGCTGTGTGCGTTCAGTTGAGGAAACTTTTGTCCTCTGCTTGTACACGCAGAGTTATATACGGCATTTTGCATTTAATTAAAAATGTGAATGCTCTAGCAAAAAAATAAGTAATACCTGAAGCCTAAGAATCGTATCACCTCTCTTTAAAGCGTAAAAAGGCAATAGATAACTTGAGCAAAAAGTGGATAAGCATGTTCTGTTTTAATGGGGAACTGGTGACCTTGACTGTGTGACTGCATCTTGCATTGGTATGCAAACCTCGCTTCTAACTTTATTGACTTGAATCTGTTTTCTCTTCAGTCTTTCCTCAGCTGTATTTTCATATGCTACACCAGAGGCGAAAGATACTCTCCCACACTGAAGAACATAGGAAGTCGGAGTAATTCCAACACTTTTTCAGAACTTTTCAAACATCAAAATGCTGCAGTTTTTCAATACCCAGCACATTTGTAAAGAATATACCAAGATAAGTCAGAGGTAAAAGACCAATAATTTAGCAAGAATAACCAATAAATCTGATTCCACTGAAATCCCACAGTGTAAAACATTGAAATATTTTCAGCTTACAATGCTTCAGAAAACTTTTAAACTTTATATGGCTTGGCAGTTAACATTTTCCTTAAATGATGTGCTAAATGGTTTTCATTTATTATTAAATGCCTGAAGGTTGCAGTATGAGTGATGAAGTTGTACCCACTAAATGCCTGAATTGGGATTATATTACCAATACCTCTTTTTTTTAAGTGCTTGACTGCATGCCAGAAACTGTATGTATTGCTATGAAAGCAAACAATATGCTCTGGAATACTTCAGGATAATGTCAGAGACTTCAGTGGAGAATGTAATCTGGCCAAAGTGTTTGAGTTTAGAAAGGTAGGTTGTGTATTTAAAAGGTGACGGGAACAAGAACGAGAAACCAATTACGGGAAACGAAGGGAATGGAGTTCTTTAGGAATTTAAACAGTATGATGTCTGACCAGAGTGTGTTCTCTGAAGATCTTGTTTAAGCTGAGTACACTAATGCAAATGTTAATTCAGAGGCTGTAACGCTTATCTGAAATATTAAAACTCCTTTAAGTACTGCATCCCTGGATACTTTTTTACATATTAAAAAAAATGAAAATTAATACTAACTGTAATATTTCTAGTGGTACCAGTAATGAATTTAAACAATATAAGGAGGCAAGTCACCAGAAATGTGTGCAGTTCTCCCTTTTTTACTTTAAATTATCATCTTTAATCACTGTCAGTGATACTCATCTTTCAGTGCTGAGGACTGTTTGGTCTGCTGTGGAATCATCTGGGGGCCTTGTTTCTCAACCTAACTTTTCTTAAGCGACTGGTGTGTATCACTGTGGCACATCCAAGCAGGCAGTTCCAGGCACTCAACTTCTGAAGTGTTGCAAAGTCATAAGCTGCTCTTTTGAAAACAGATTATCTCATGTGTTACGTGCTGCTTTTGCAGACTGGACAAGCCTTTCCTCATCTGTTCTTTTGAAAGAGTGGAAGAATACAGAAAGTTATATTTTCCTCAGTGCTTCCCCTGGGTTAGCTTTCCCTTGGGAAGGTAAAACAGAGAACAAGAAAGCCTTGTAGTGAGGCAGAAAGCACTAATGCTGTGTGAGCAGTGCCCTGAGTTTTGAAGACACTTTTGAAGGGGCCAAAAGGGTAGGGAATGGAAGGGGCAAAGGGAGCAGGGAAATGAACAGATACCCAAGCAAAGACAAAAGGAAATGTGGGTTATGGCCTTTGCTCTGTTAGGAATTGGTAGTCAAGTAGTGTTGTTTGAACCCAGTCAGGGTCACTAGACAACACCACATGGCTTCCCTCTTGTAACGTTATGACTTGGTGCATAAATGAGGTGTGACCCCTACCATGGTACCTGCAGTACTGGGCTCGTGCTGTGCCTCCCCCTGGATGTGGCCCAGTTGTGCTCAACACATCCCAGCTCTCCCTACACACAGCCAGGAAGTAGAGGGCACAGGCTTTCTTTTCTAGCACTTGGGAATAGCTGGATTTACAATTATTTAAGTTTATGCTTGTCAGAGCTATATTTTTTAAAAAACTTTGCCTTTTTCAGTAATTTTCTTTGACTCTGTCAAAAGGTCTGAATTTTCCTAACTCTCACTATATAGCACATTTCCTGTTCAAACACAAACAGGACTATTATAAGCAGAGAGAGGATAAGAAACAATAATAATCTTTGCTTCTATTTTAAACGCTTTGGAGCCTATTATTGACTATTCGAAAACACGGGAGGTTGTACCAAGATGGGTGTTGGTCTTTTCTCCCAAGTTACATGTGATAGGACAAAACCGCCTCATGTTGCACCAAGGAGGGTTTAGATTGGATATTAGGAAAAATTTCTTCATCAAAAGGGTTATCAAACACTGGAACAAGCTGTCCAAGGAAGTGGTGGAGTCACCATCCCTGGAGGTATTTAGAAGGAATGTAGATGTGGTGCTTAAAGACGTGGTTTAGTGGAACTTCGCAGTGTTAGGTTGCACTTGATGATCTTGGAGGTCTTTTCCAACCTAAAGAATTCTGTGATTCTATTACTGTGGCCATATACAGCCTCAGACTGGTTTTGGATTTGAAGATGCAGTAGTTCAGTTAATTTCTGCAGTAGGTTATGGGCTTTGTTGTGATCTGAGAAATGTTATGTTATACTGAACTCGATTGAAAGTGTAAATTTCCACCTCTGAATAAAACATCTTTTGCTTATACTTGTTGTTAAAGAAAGTGATGTCAGTATTTCTGAAGGATGCCATCTAAAAGATCTGATTTCCTGATGTACTTAGGTTATTGGATATTGTCGATGTACAGCTCCTGAACTTTTCTTAATTTGATTTCTGGGCCCAAATAAAAGATTTGGTTTCAAATTTGTTGGTCCAATTTGGAGGAAAAAAATGGCTGTGTAATACTTCAATATGAAACAAACTGCTGGCTCTGCTGATGAGAAAGATATAGTCCAGATCTGTGTACAGTACAATCAGATAGCACTGGCACCATGGAAAAGCAGAGCGTGCTGCCAGCAGGGAGGAAACTTGTACAACCAACACCTTTACTGAATAAGCTTTATCATGGAATATTTACTTTAATTGAAAATATAAATTTACCACACAAATGGAAATAAACTACAGACTTTTAAAAGAAAATGGAGTTACTTTTCCTTTCAAAAGAAATTGCTTTGTTACTAAGAAATCTTATCAGCAAGGTTGGTTTATATTCAGAAGTATGAAAATGCAGTTAGTATGTACAAAAATTCAGCACTTCATCTTGCAGTGCTTTTTCAAGTTTATCTTCCATGGAAATCACTGGAAGGTGATCTTGAATAAGAACTGTAGTGTGATGCCCTAATCCTCTTTGAGTTGTTCCCCAGTATTGACTTTGGTCACACATGTGGGGTTTTTCCTCATAAAATAAGAAATTTCCCCTCATCTGTCACTGAAGTTGTAATGTGGTTTGTGTGAACTTTATAGTAGAAGCTTTGATTGGTACTGTTTGCCACAAATGTAGAGGGTTTTATTTTCCCCACACACTATTTTCTTGGCTTGCATGTTCTCTATCAGCATATCCAAACCAGCAGGTGTTCTCTGCTTTGGTGTCTCTGTTGTGTGCACTGATTCAGTTGACAGCACTTTATGTTCTACCACGCTGGTTTTGTCTGAGTTAGTCACTACTCTCTAAAAGACCAAGGCTCTTACCAATGTATAGTTTACAACTGGAACTGTAGGAATGTTCATATTGTAAATTACAGTAAGATGCAGGTTACAGTGCAGGTAAATTGTAATTTTTCACAATGTGATGTTTCTATTAAAGGTGGGGTTTTTTGTTATCATAATGAAGGTTGACATTTGTGTGGACCAATCTGCAGTGTCATTTGAAAACCTTTTTCAGCTTTAAATTTTCATGAGTATACATCAAATCACGCATTTTGATGTATATGTCAGTGAAATTTGGGTGAAAACTATATACAGTCATTTTTGTATTTTTTTCTATGTTGTGAAGAATAAAATTGTAATTTTATAAGTCTGATTCACTAAGATTATTATAAGTTAATGTATTTTTTGTATATTTAGGAATCTGGTATAACCTGGAGCTCTGAAAGATTAAGCATAGACTTTTTATGCATGGTTGAAAGATATTTCAACTTCATAATGCAGTGGAATGGTTTGTATGCTAAAATACTAGTCTGTGTTGTTGCCTTGTGAAATTGATTCTGTGCTCTCCGCCTGGATTTGGCCTACTGATCTGTGATACTAATTGCTATAATCGAAATAAAATCATTCTGAACTAAATACGTTGTACTGTTACTGTTTAAGGAAAAAAAGCAGATACTTTATATTTGTGACTTAGGGCTGTATTTTTATTCATTTGTATAGAATGTTTGCCTTGCAATTTACAAGATTTTTTTAGCATATGTAGCTCTGGAGCTCAGACAAAAGAGTTAGGAAACTTCATACTGTTATGAAAGATCTGCTTTTCACTTTCAGAAGAGGTACTCATAACAACACGTTAACTGTGTCAGCACTCAAACTTACAGCTTCCTGAAGGATCCTCAATAGAATGAGAGCTCTTTGTTCTCCTGTTGTTATTTGTACTCTGGATGCTGATGGTTTTCTACAAAAACAAAACCGTTTGAGTATTATAAATACAGTGGAATGCTTAACTAATGCAACAGAATACTTCAGAGTTCATTTACTAAATATAATATGTCTGCTACCACGGCAACGTTCTTAGCATTTTTAACACTTCCTGAGAGAGATTTAAAAACTGTGTCTAGATGGCATTAATGCTCGTGAATAACGAGTTATAATCCTCTAATAGGAACTGAGTAGTAGTTGCAGAGTGAGTGCTATTACTCTGGGCATATGCTTGTCATAAGATTGCACAACTACAGTGATTTTTTTGTTGATTGCAGCCGGGATGAACCGATGTTGTCATGCCCAGCATCAGCACATGTCCTACGCATGATGGCTGTGACTTAGCACTGCTGTGTAATTCAAAACTCCTCTTTGAAATGTTACTCCGTGAGTGGTGGTGCCGAGCTCCCTTTGTGCCTTAGAATAACTTCTGCTGGTTATTTGGGTTTCCTCTTTGCATTTTGAAAACAGTATGTGTGGAAACAGTTTTAGTTCCCTAAGGTAACTTAAAAACAGCATAAGGATTCTGTGCTTGCAAGCAATTTAATATCACAATAGCACATAAGGCTTATCTCAAATAAAGCATTGGCAGTTCTTGACATGAGACTTGAGGAAGAATCTGTGCTGGTGTGCTGAGTATAAAACGAAAAGGTGTGAATATCTGTATGATTCATTTGATGTGAACTGAGCATTTCTACAGTTGGGATTGACTGATTCAAACCACCCAACTGCTTGGGACTTCAATATCAAGTAGCTTTTAAATTTTGCTTCCCATCTCCTAAACAAATACTCTTCCACACTTGTCAGAAGACTTCTAAAAGTAGTAAGAGAATTAATAACACTTCTGAAGGCTATCTTTGAAACAGTTGGAATTTCAGATGTGGGTGGAAAATTTAAAACTCGTAATACTGTTGATCTCTGATCTCCAGAATAATACTTTACAGATGGGAAAGATCCTAAAGCTCTTTTAATGTCTTCACAAATTAATTGGGCATTAATATTGTGAGAGGTGTGTTTTTTATGTGCTGACATAGATAATGTGTTAATACTAGGGAAAGAGGTGTTCCTGTCAGTATTATGTCTTAATTTTTCTAGCGGTTTAAGTAGATGCATATTATTTCAATATTCCACTATAAAAGCGTAATTCACAATACTTAGAAACACTTCCATGTCTCGTTATACTTGCACAAACTCAGTGTCACAGCCAACTGCCTCTCTGCAGATGAAATTTATTTCATATAGTTCATACGTAAGAATTTGACGTGATCTGGTAGTACATGAGGATGCCATTATTGGGAAATTCTTTGGTGGAAGTTTTTGCAGATGCTTATTCAACTGAATTGTGAACACTGAATTGCATTTTGTCCTGTCTTTTTGACTCCTGCTACAGACAGTCTGCACAGTCTTCAGTGAACTGTTATCACTTGCAACAAGTGTACATTAAAACTTTATTTGAACACCTGAACTCACAGAATCATATTTACTGTGTAATCTACATTCAGCCTCTTGGATAATACAGTGGGTTAGTCTCATTTTACAGAGTGATAATCTGAAGAATATATATATATAGAGAGAGAGAGAGAGAGGCATTTCAGGTATCTTCTTTAAAATTAGTTGCAAGTTGATGTCAATTTAAAGGTCAGCCCTATGGGTTTTTTTCTAGCATGCCTACAGAAAATACCAGTTGTGGAAAGCATATAGGAAGTGGAGAACCTTCCAATCAGCCTAACCCTGGATTGCTTTTATGAAATCAATTTGCCTTTTAAAGGTTTCTGTGGGTAAAATACAACCTCTTCACTTACTGGGTAAGAAAAAGATCCTGAGTGCTGGTCTTCTCTGCTAAATGACAGTCAATAAAGAGATGAGATGGAAGAGCAGAGGTACTGGAGGATACAGAGCTCAACCACTGTGCTTCACAAAGAATATTAAAGCATTGACAAAACACAAAACTTTCTTCCTTTTTCCTTTTGGTATCCAGCAGTTGTTGGTGGTGGGGGTGGGGTGTTGTTATTTGGCTTTGGGTTTTTGGCTGGATTTATTTGTTTGTTTATTTCTAAGGGAGAACAGCAGCACTTAATGAAGATGCTGCAGTGTTTTGTCTGGTGCGCTGATGACATGAAATTCCTTTTATTCTTCTCCAGGTGTTTATTACAAGATTATGGGGAACTGGATGCACTGGCTTAGGTGATTTGTTTTAGTCTTCTGTTCCTGTGTATAAACTACTGGGAAAGTTGCTGGTTTTAAATACGTTTCCTTACCCAGCTTTTTGGTGCAATTTAAATTAATTAATCAGAGCACTTTGTTAGCAAACTGTAACAGTGGAAAAAGGTTTCTTGCATCAGCAAGAAAATGGATGTGCAATTGAGTCAGACATTGCTGGTTGGTTTACTTAGTAAGACTGGAAATTAACAGTTGATATTTTTGTTAGAGGCCTACCAGAAGTAAACTGTACAATCTGAAAATACTGAATTATTCTTCGAAAAGTATTGTCAAAGAATTTGTAGAATCCTGCTCTAGGTTTACAGGTGCATTCAAAAAGGGGCAGATGTAAACACTCATGGACTATTGTGCTCCAGGTTCCTGGTGATGAATAATTACACTTCAGGCCTAACCTTGTCAGATTTTGAAGAAATAAACTGCTGATAGAAAGATGTAAAAGTACTACAGACCACTGTTGTTAAAAATCATATAATATAGTTATTCTTAGTGACATGTTTTAAACTGATACTTGTTTGCAGAATAAGCTATGGTTGGAGTCCTATGATATGAATTCTTTGGAATTAATCTGGTGTACAATGTGTTGTTATCTCTCCATTGTAACTGTGTGACTCAGAATAACTTTTCAATAAAAAAATGTCTGGTTTTGTATATTTTTATTCAAGCCTGCTTTTCTCATGAAAACTGAGTAGGCAGGTTGTTTTCTGGCTGATTTACCTGTTCTTGACGGGGACTATAGTCACTAAAAATACTAGCAAAATTTGAAAGAAGGGTAGAGGTGTCAGAGAAATTCCCCCAACTTGTGTCTGTGTTTAGCTTAAGATCTTCTACAGCAGGTGCTAATCTCATGTCAGAGTAAGTGAGGGGGGTGGACTGAGAAAGTAAGATGAAAATGTTTGAGTCTAAATTTTGCTAGTCTTGTGCACAGTAGAACACTTTTCCATGCACTCTCTTGAGGTTCCTTCATTAGTACAGTATCAGTCTGGGTTTTTTCACAGCAAATTTGATGGATGAAACCACCTGACTCTGGGCCCTGTTGTCAGGTGTACTGGCTCTGGGTGTCAGGGTTGTGGAAGTTGATGAGTTGCTGGTGTACTCAGTGCTATAATTACAAGTTCTATTAATGCACTTCAGGGATGTGTGACCTTAACTATTGGTGTCCCTTAACTATTTGTGTTTGTACTGCAGATAAATACAGTACTTGTGTAAGTGGAACTTAAGACTGAGCCTGACTACAGCTTGTGTAAAGGTATTTGGTAAATAGCTTAAAACTGCAACTTACGTGCCAAAAACATAAATGTTCTGCTCCGAGCTTCCTACAGGCTCCTGGAGCCCACTTGGTACAAACATTCCTGTCCTGTCCTTTGCTGTTACCCACAGGTGAGCTAGCAGGGCTGAATGCTGAGTAGGTACATGTGTACTACAGGTAGAAAATGAACTGCTGTACTCACATTCTTTGTCTAGAACTGGAATCCTTGGCTGTTTTTTTTCTTATTGTCAGAATTATGTGAAGTCCCTGTGAATGACCACATGAATTATTTGTGCTGTGGTGAATTCCATGATGAATCCTCCTGTACTGGAAATATGCACACGCATGTGTTACAGATCTGCATCCCAGCTTTGGCTGTACTACACAGCATGGACATGCAGATATATTTTGTTTCTGTTTGGGATGAAATATTGTGGGTGCTGCTGTGAAAAAGCTGGCAAACCTGATTCAGTAAGCACCTTGTCTTGCTAGGCTTCTGTGTACCTACCCCTAAAAACCCCCCAGAAGTCAGCTGTGACTCAGATTGTTTTGGGTTGGGCTTTTTGTTTATTTTTTAAGTCACTGTGGTTTTGTGTTTTCAGTTTTCTCATTTTTGGTTCTATTCCTTGTGAATCATCCAGATTATTGGGAGGGGGGTGGTGTTAGAGTGAGAGAACTTGTAATAGCAGCTTGTTCAGTTTCAGTATTTCCTGCCTCCAAGTTGGATCGTGTGATTGTCTCTGGGTTTCAGAGGGCTGTTTTGGACTGTGCAAAGATAGTCAGTGAAAGGGCCAAGAACCTGTTTTATAACAGTGTCACAAATTTAGGGAGCATAGATATTTTAAAATTCTGGATTTAATACTTCCATAAATCTTGTAGTGCATGAAGACCATCAGGAGTGAAATGTGACATGGGTATTCTGAGGTCACTGGATGTTATTCCTCATTTTAAGTAAATAATGGAAAGAAAGAATGCTAATGTTTGTCTACTGCACCTGTTGTATTAATAATAAAGTAAAAAATGTTTTGATAAAAACTTAGAAGGCTACATGTGAAATCAGAATCTGTGTGAACTGGTTTTGTGTTGAAGAAATTCAGATCTGCTTCACATAGCTCTCTCTTGTTTCCCTCAGGGCTTCCTGAAAGTTTTTGTGGAGTTGATATCATTCTAGTGATTTTGTTCTGGCATTCTCTAAATCTTCCATGTGCCTACCTACATTTAGGTATTTTAGCGAGAGAAACACGTTTTGAAAAAGAAGCAGGGTTCAGTTTTAATCTGGAATTTGATCAAGACATGATTGAAGGTACTGAATGGAATTTTGTCCAACTGCCCCTCCCTCGCTGCCCCCCATCCTCCCTCCCCTGCCCCAGAAAAAAAAGCTTTTATGATGGGGCAAGTAGAATTTGGGAAGGCTAGGCTGGACTGGAAGGTGGAACATTAGCCTTTCTGGGGAAGGAATAGTAAGTTTCTCTGTTTTGGTACAACACAGTCTTGTGATATTTGTGTTTGTTGATCTCCTATGAACAAAGCAAATAAATATTCTCATTTTACAGATTAGAATACAAAAAACACTTGTATTGATTAAAGTCATTATTGTTTGTAAATAGCCGTATTGGGACTGAGATATAGAAGTTCCTAATGACACCTTTTAGTCATTCTTCAGAAAAAGGCTGAACTAAATTATGAAAGGAAAAGGTAACTTGGATCTATGTATAAATCATTAACAAAAATAATTGCCTAAATGTTCTTGTAATAAATGTTAGGCATTTTTAAATGAGTTTACAGCCACCCAGGATATGCTGTGGTTTTGTCATACCTTACTGCCATTTATAATCAGGTTCCTGAATTAGAAACAAGAGACAGAGCTTGAAGAAACTGCATGTTAGAAAAAAAAAGGTGTAGGTAAGATGTCCATAATCTGTATCCGTAGTATTCTTCAGTAATCTACTCATTATCCTTTTTCTTCTACCATATGAGATCCAGTAACATGATTACCTGGAAGTAGGCATTAGATCTAAGATTTTTAGTATCCGTGTGGAATCTTACATCTTCTTTTTCATAGCCTTATATATGTCCTCATTGTGTAAAGTACCTGATTAGTTGGCACTACTCTTCTAATACAGCATCCTTGCTGTTTTCACAAGTTACAGATTGCTTGCAGAATCTCTTCCAAATGCACCTTTGTTTAAACTTGACCACTCATATTTACCTGTTTTTAAAGTTACAAACTTTCAGTTTCCCCTGTAGCAAGGACACAACTTTTTTCCCTTTTGGCTAATGAATTTTTTTTTTAAAAAACCTAATTTTAATGTCTTCAGTTTCAGCATCAATTGTTGTAACAGAAAAAAGCAAAACTATTCATAGGTCAAACAGAATGACATAGTGAAAAGAAACATGTATGATACTCTAGAACTGAAACTGCTCTTCTCTGGTACTTGTATATGTAAACTTTCTGGAGGAGGAGCTATAGCTTACTATACCCTGGAGTCCCACCTAAGATTCAGGCTTCCAGAGGCTATCATGGTGCAAAACCTGAGTAAGACCTGACCTAGTCTCAATGGTGAAACATGAGAACCTTAAAATTACTTGGCCTTTTACTGAGCAATGCTTTGTTGATACCCAGAACTAAATGTAGTGAGATGTTGATGTTGAATGTGCTTGGTTCTTACACATGCCTTCATAGTATTTTTCTGTCAGGCAGAATTAATTTTAGACATCAAGTTGTTGTGCATCACCTTTCTCTCTTTACTTGTTTTTACGGTTGTACTTTTTTGTGAAAATGTGAGATCTTTTACCGCTGGCTTTGAGAGAAGAACTCCAAAATGGGAGTTCACGTACAGAACAGAAAGACCCATCCCAATTTACGACTCACTGAAGAATCATTTCACTGTCTTTGTCCCTAGAGTTCAGGCGCTGTGCAGCCAGAGTAACTGACCACACAATTCTTGGGTTTTGTTCTACTTGAGTAGAAGAAAAGTAGTGTATGGATAGTGACAGTGTTGTATAATATCCCAAGAAAAGATAAATGCCATCTGAAAGACAGTGGTATTTATATATAAAAATGTCTCCTCGTGGAAAGCAAACTGTGAATGCAGTTGATCAGCTGCAGTATGTAGCATCTGGCAGGAAAATGCCACGTAAGTGAGCATCATGGTATAATAGTTGTGTGCATTTTTTTAATGAAAATCTTTACTCACTCCTGGTGAGTAAAAGATGCTCTGTGGAAGCAGCTGCTGAAAATTCAGCATATGGTTTTGCAAATGCACAAAGGCCTGAGTTGCTGTAGTTTGGGGAGCTACTTGCACGTGTAAAGGACACGTGAAAGGCTTGTGTTTGGAACGTTATCTGTTTTTTTTCCCCTACTGTAACCACCAATACTACCTCTCTACAAACCTTGCTTATCTCTGTCACTTGATAACCACAGCTCCAGCACTACTACTGCTAAGGACTACTTGTGAGCAGGGATTTTCAGTGTTTGAACAAACATCTAGACAATTACCAGTTTCAGCTACTTAATCTAAGCAGTTATCTGATTTGACAGTTTGCTTTTAATAAAACGTGATGCAGAACATCAAGCAATAATACTATTCTTAGTACACATACTGCTTACCTTCAAAACACTGTAAATCATTAATTAGCTCACTCGCATCTACAGAAAGAGTGGTTCACATGAAAGGACACTGTCTGGAGGAGTCTGGGGTTTGAAACCTGTTGGGAAGTGCCGTGGTGCCCTCACCATGCCCCCCTCCTAGGTTGGGGGAAATGCCCTCCAGTGAATCGGTGTCACAGCGCTGCCGGCCGGACGTGCGGGATGGAGCTCAGGTGGCTGAAAAAACAAGGCAAATCTAAAAGCCCGCGTATGTATTTCAGCCTCAGTCGCTGTGTTAAGGGAGGTCCTGTGACAGGTGCTGAGGTGGAGGGAGGTTTCTCTGCGGCTTCGTTTCGTTCACCGGTTTGGCCACCGGTGCTTGATGTTGCCGCGTCTGTCAACCCGAGCAGGAGGCAGCTTTCCCCCACACGACAGCCCGGAGGCAGAACACGGAGACAAGCCCCGTGCGCCTCCCAAGGCGGGGCCGATCTCGGCCCCTGGGGACGGATCCCATCCCTGGGGACGGATCCCATCCCTGGGGACAGACCCCGCGGGATCCCCTCAGGGAGCGCCCTGGAGGGGGGAGGGCCGAAGGGGTTAAGGGCGCCCCGCCCCCCGGGCGCGCGCATTGGCGGGGCGGTGGCAGCGGCGGCCAATGGCGGCGCGCGGCGGCGGGGCCGCGCCAATGGGGGCGGGCGGGGGCGGCGCGGCGGGCGCGCGGCTGAATGGGGAGCACAAAGCGGGGCCGGGACGCGCCGCCGCCGTGCCCGGCAGAGCCCCGCACCGACACCGCTCCGCCGGCAGCGCGGGGAGGCGGCGCCGGGACCCCGCCTCGCTTTTGCCGGTTTTTTTGCTTTTTAATTATTTTTTTTTTTCCTTCCTCTTACCCTTCAGGTCTGCCGGTTTCTCCCCTTTTTCCCCCCCGTGCCTGTGGAAGAGGCTCTGCGGCCGCCCGAAGGCACCGCGGCGTAGCGGCAGCGGCGGCCGTGTGCATGAGCAGCGCGTTTGCCGCCGGCCGTGCCTTGCCGCCGGGGCTCCGCCGCTGGGAGGCGAGGCGAGGCAGGAGCGCCGCCGCAGCCCGGCCCGCCCCGGGCAATCCCCCCGCCGCGCCCCTCGGGCAGGGGATGCTCCCGCTGCCGCCGGCTGCCGCATCCCTGCGAGCCTGAGCCTCCGCCCGCTCCTCGCCGACCGGCCCGCGGCGAAGCGCCCGCCTTGCGCGCGGCCCCGAGCGGCGGGGGCCGGGCGGGCGCGGTGCGGGTGCGCTGCGATGCGGGTCCCCCGCGGCGCCCCGAGCCCCTGCGGCTGCCGCCGCGCGGCTGAGGGTGAGCGGCCGTGAGCCGGGGGCGTCCCGGGCCCCGCGGGGCCAAGCGCGCTCGGCGGTGTCGAAGCGCCGGGGCCGGCGATGGCGCTGCCCTGAGCGTCCCGCCGGGGACACCCCGGCTCCGGGGACGCCCGGCTGCTCCGGAGACTTTGGGGGCTTTTGCTGGGTTTGCCTTTTCTTTTTTTTTTTTTTTTCTTTTCTTTTCCCCCCCTAACTTTTTTTTCCCTGCCCGCTGCCTTTTGGTGTTTTTTTTCTTCTCGTCCCCTGTGCGTGCCCGGCGGTTGTCCCCTCGCCCGCGGCCCCGTCCCTCAGGGCATGTCCCGGTCCAACAGCGTGAGCCCCCCGGGCTTCGGCGGTCCCGCGCCCTGGGCAGGCACCGAGCAGCACCGCTCGGCCTGGGGCGAGGCGGAGGCCCGAGCCAATGGCTACTCCTACCCGCCGCCTCCCAACAGGTCCTCGGGCAAGAAGGCCTCCCGCATGTCGAGCAGGTGGAGGAGCGAGGAAGACTACGAGCCCCGTAGCCGCGGGGAGAGCGGCTGCAGGATGATGAGCTTTAGGTCCAAATCAGCCTGGCAGGAGCACAGTGACGACAGCCGACGTCACCGGTCCCGCCACCCGCCTGGCAGTGATTCCCCCGCTGCCCCCAACAATGCCAGCCCCCGACAGCTGGGGGAGCAAGGGGAGGTGCGGCCCCGCTCGGTGGAGCTGGGGCTGGAGGAGAAACGCATCAAGGCCAAGATTGAGGAGCTGGAGGAAGAGGACGGGGACGAGGGGGACTCCGAGGCGGCCTTCTCCATGGGCAGTTGTTGCAGTAGCCTGTTGCAAATCTTCAGGTCCAAGAAGTTCCAGTCTGAGAAACTGGAACGCCTCTACCAGCGCTACTTCTTTCGGCTTAACCAGAGCAGCCTCACCATGCTCATGGCCGTGCTGGTGCTGGTCTGTGTGGTCATGCTGATCTTCCATGCGGCGCACGGCCACTATGAGGTATCCTACGTCGTGGTGCTCTCCCTGGCCATCCTGCTGATGGTGGTGCTGTGCATGGTGTGCAACCGCAACGACTTCCACCAGGACCACATGTGGTTGGCATGCTACTCTGTCATCCTGGTGATCCTGGCCGTGCAAGTCGTAGGAGTTCTGCTGGTGTGGCCCAGGAGCGCCTCAGAGGGCATCTGGTGGACCGTCTTCTTTATCTACAGCATCTACACACTGCTGCCCGTGCGGATGAGGGCCGCGGTCATCAGCGGGGTGGTGCTCTCCGCCATCCACCTGGCCGTCTCCCTCAAGATCAACGCAGAGGATAAGTTTCTCCTGAAGCAGGTAGGCAAGCCCTGAGGGGTTTGGGAGTGCGCTCAGCATTGAAAGGCAAGGGAAGCAGCGTTGTCTGACTTCCACAGGCCTGCCCAATGCTGGAAGGCTGACAGGGCTTTTGGTTGAACCCCTTGGTCACTACTGCTGGGTGGGATGCTGTACAATGTGGTAAATAGCATGTAATCTTACCTTTTTCTATAGCTTTGCTGTTTTCTCATTTCTGCTAAGTTAAGGCTCTAAACATGCAAGAAATGTGCCTTACTGGGTTCCCATGACAGCTACTCCAGCAGTGTCAGCCAGCCCTGCTAATGCCCTTCAGCTGTATTTAATGTAAACAGCCTTGTGCTCAGCACACCTGTGGAAGGGTATCTGCGCGTGCTGCCATGTTTCTGAGAAATGTGGGGAGGATCTGGCTGTTTTTATGAGCTAGAGGTTATCTTTGTGTGGCACTCTTGAGTTCGAGTGTGGGTTCCGTGTAAAGCGCGGAGCTTGGTTGTTGGAAAGCATGCTCCACGGGAATGTCGGGTAGGCTTTTGGTTTAGCAGGAAGGTGTTTTGCTCTGAGATGTGCTGGAAATATCTACAGTGAAGAAGCCCAGAGTTCATATACAGCCAGAAAAAAAAGTATGAGAAAAGTGCAAATGCAGGTTATTATTTAGCTGTGATATCATGTTTAACTGAAGCAGTTCAGTTCACGGGAACAATAAGACTATTATAAAATGCATTACAATGCAATTTTTAATTACCATATCTGTATAAACAACAGCAGTACAAGGCGCCACTCTTCTTTTCAAGTAAAGCAAGCAGCCTCGGGACTCATGTGCTTTAAGCTTTCCACACACCGAGGCAATCAGGAAACCATCAACTTAAAATGCTGAAGCTGTGAGGCAATTGTCATCCTTCTGATGTGCGGGACTCTGAACAGGGATGAGCCTGTCACAGAATCAGCCCTGATGCTTGGGTGAACCCAGGGATTGTTTATTAAAATCAGGTGTTTGTTAGCTTTACAGCCCTATCACATATTACAAAATAAAGCTTTGCGTGCAGTGCCTCCCTTGAGTCTTAGTTCTGAGTTGTTTTGAGTTCCACCTATGACAGTGGCAGGAGAAGTTGTAGGGCTTAAATAAAACCTCTTAAGGATGAGGCTGTCACTGCTCTGCCATATAAAATTGCCTATGAAATCACTCTCTTCTCCCTCTTGCCCATTTAAGCCTGCTTGGACAGTTTCTGGCTTTGTTCTTAGTTTCTTACAGATATTTTTATAAACTGTGCATGGCATATTTTTCTTATGTTTCCTGTAAATGTCTTGTTGTGCACTTCCAGCAGAGAATACACTGTGAGTGGGACAGTTGCTGTTTTTCTGCTTGACTTGAAAAAGTTTGCTAATGGCATGAACTCTTCCCCACTGGGGCTCTGGTCCTGCAAAGCCTTCTGAATGCTCTTGGCTTTGAAAACAGAGACTTGTCCTATTGAATTCAGTGTATTTGGAGACTGTATCCTTACATATAAAGGTAAAGCCCATCATGATTATAGCCAGAAGACCTGGCAGTCTGTTATGAGCAGAGCTGAATTTGTAGGATCTTAAGGAGTGCATAAAATATCATCATACTATAAAGTGTTGATAACTGCATTTTAGTAGGAAGGAGCCTACATTACAAAGGACAAATGACTGACTCTCTCAGTGGAGAATTTGGATGATTACAGCTCCCTCCCTTTCTGAACTGCAGGGTTATTTGTAAGAGGTTGGGCTTGTGTATTAAGTGTGCACTTGTCAAAGGTAAAAGCATGGGCAGTAGGTGATGGTGCAGAATGCACAAATCTGTGCATTGCACAGTTGCTTTCCCTTTCATACTAATGCTGTTTTTTTTCCTGCAGTTTGACAGTAAACATTCAGTTAATGAGGAATGTCCTAGGAGTACTCTTACTTTGTTTTCAAAGGCAGAGTGTCTCTTCACATTGCCTGCTTTATTTTTCCTACTCACACCGTCTGTATCTTGCTGTGGTCTACGCTGGCGTAGCTCTGGCTGAATTCAGTGGGGTTGTACAAGGCCAAGAATCAGATTCCTTGCACGTTTGTGTATGAGCATGGGCTTCTATCTCTGGCTGTCTGAGAGAAGAGTCTGTTGTGCTGAGCACATCGTCTCACAGCTACTAACAGGCCTTCCTCACTGGGGCTGTATCTCGTTGCCGTGGAAATCGGTCGTGTTCAGCTCTGTCCCCCCTAATGGCACGCAAGCCCTATTTTCCTCCTTCAAACTACCAGGGGCGAAGGCAGATGAAGAACCAGATAAATTGAGAAGAGGGAGTTAAGTTGTTTTCAGTGACTTCACGCTGGCAGTCACATCAAGCCTGTGTTTTGTGGAGCCGGAGTGGATGTGAATGCATTCGTGACTATGTGACCAGATGGTACTTTATACCCGGCAGTCACAGAAGAAAGGCAAGTTAGATATGTATCCCCTTTCATCTGTTTTTCATGGCATTTTTAACTATAATACCTGAGCAAGTGCTTCTTCATGGGGCTGTTTGCTTTTAATCCTCTCCCAGTTGTTTCCAAGCTACAAGAAATCATACACTGACATTCAAAGCTGGGAGACTCTTGTGTAGACTCCTGAGCACTTTTATGAGGCTCAGCAGCCTGTTAAAAACTCCTCTTTCTCAAGAAAGTGAAATTCTTGGGTTTTAAGTCCCTTTTGGAAGAAAGGCAGCTTGCTAGATTCCGTTGCTGAGGATACATGGTTTTATTGTCTGAATTATCTTCTTTTACCATTACTGCACTTCTTTGTCACCAAACTCTCTGTTGAAAGTCTGTGATAGTCAGACTTCATGAAAGGGTTAATGCAGTTGGCTGTTTCTGAATCGGTAAAGTGACAGGAGTAGGTAGTTCTGATTATTCAGTCTTAACGGAGCTGCTTTTTTTTAATAATTCTTCTGGG